ACAAAAGCAATACATTAGCTGCTTGTATATTGCCTTTTATGCCGCGAAAAATTTACATTAGCTAGTTATTATTCATGCATCAGTCTTGCATATACTTATTTCTAACCATGCCATCAACGAAGTACGTGTATGGCATGTGTTTGGAAGGAATTACTGACAAGTAAGAGATCTAGAATTTTTTCTGGTGATTTTCTTTCTAAATAGCTCGTGTGCTCTTTGTATTGAATGGTTTTTAGACTCACTTGGAATATACATATGCATGCATTAATATTCAGTAGAATAGTGGAGTATCTGAGTACTTAATGCAGCCAATGCAAATACAATTAAACAGCTGCATGCACGGATGGCTTGCAAACGTATTGCACAGTATCATAAAATAGAGTTAAAAAACCGCCATAAAAAAGATAAAAAACTGCTTTTCTGAATACCGGTTAACAGTTGAACCGTTCTATGCATGGATTTAACACTACCGAGTATATGCTTTGGAAATTTTAACTGAAAATTATTTAAAATATCAAGAACAATCTGAATATTTAACACTATTTTGGCGGGTCGTGCCAATAAATTGACTGCCGTGTATCAGACGAGAGATTATAGCTTTTCTGAATTGAACAAAAGTTTCTTCAGTGCGTGAGCGTGTGTATGTGATGTTCAATGTATAGATTATGAAGATTAGTATAAGATAGATTAGAAATTACATAATAAGGGAATCGCTAATTAAAGGTGACATTTTTCTCTGTCACGCAATATGTCCTTAAAACCTTGCATCATCAGCCAACAGCTAGTACTTAAAATTTTTTCATCATTAAAAAGGTTTAAAGAAGGATGTGTACTATATACATAATCTTGAAACGATGCCAAAATGAAGAAATTCCCTCGGTACGCCTAGAAAGAAAGGACACTTAAATCGAAGCTACTTTTGTATTCATCGCAGTGATAATAACGATGATATTCAGATATTTATATTTGGAACCACTATAAAAACTAGCTCTTCAAGACTTAGTTCACTACATGATGTAAAAAACATTAAAGCTAAACAAGACTTCAATGCTTATCATCTTATTCGTAGCTTGTAATATCAACCATTTATATTGACGCTAAGATATCACACACAGGTATGCAGTCCCTATAAGCAAAGAATGACTCTCTTACCATAAACTAGTTATATTTCCGACCTTGGTGAAGCTAATGGTTACGGTGCGATTGTTTTGTATTTTCAATGACGTTAAGCCCAATTTCACAGGTCACAAATTAAAATTTAAGGGGATATGGTAATTAATTTGGTAGTTTCATTAGAATGTTTCAACATTTTCATAATTCTACAGCTAAAGTGTACTCAAGAGTCCAAGTCTCCAACAGATATTAAATAACTCTACTTCTCTTCAATGCCCTAATGAATTAGCATCCAGTAATTTTGAAATGTTGAGCTCGCTATTGACGATCCAAAAACCGCTCTCAAAATCTTTATGAGTATTAAATAATGCTGACGAGCTATTCAACATTTTCCACTAACTACCCGTTAAGTACCGTTTTTCGGTTAAATTCTAAATTTGCATGAGCTGTGGAATAAACGAGGCTTAAAAATTAGCTCTGAAACTGCTCGAAAGTAATGGTCGTCTCTTTCAGTCAATGTTCCTAAAACGTCAAAAAATGTGATCGTAAGTATGATCGTTTAAACATTTTACAGACATGTTAACACAAAAAATATGGTCATTTTTGCTCTAAATGGTATAAGGGCTGTTTTTAAGACCTTAGGGAATATTTCCCTATACGGACCTCCAATCTGGTAAATAACACATATATATATATATATATATATATATATATATATATATATATATATATATATATATATATATATATAAAATTTCAGGCTTTAAACTTTGCTCTGGGATCGACGGACGTTTCTTTCTTATTGCAATACTTCGTATAATCTCTTAAAATCGTCATTCTATACAAAAATCCTTATTACCTTTGTTAATTAATACCTTTGTTACAGTTTGATTAAGAGAAACTGACGCTATAATTATACAACTTAATCTGTAGTTTTGGGTCCCTGAACGAGCGGTGAACTCGCTCCGGAATACTCCAGTGCAGTGCAATGCCACATTGGCTCTTGATGTGTCTCCAGCATTCCGTCTTTCCTCACGAATACATCAGTCATTATATATTCCCCGTGCTGTTGACATCCTTCGAAAACCATTTTTCCAGGCCCCTGTGGCAAGTCATTGCCGAAACGTCCCTGATAAGTGTAGTGCTGGTTCGTCACATCTGCATATCCCTCACGTTTTCCACATGACCATGAGCCTTTGAGAATAAGAATGCATTTTTTCTCACACGGACGTTAATTTTACAATCGCTCGCGTGAAACAAAGAAATTTCGTTTCAGACGAATCAGCAAATTAATCTTGCTTGCATGTTCAGTAAACTAATTAGAACGCTAAAAAGCTGAACTGAGAGCTTATTTTCTTCGACAGAAGAAATGCACAATTAGAAATATGGAAAATGTGCGTCAAAGAAAGAAAGATAATAATTGCAATTCTAGAATCCACGAGTATAATACCAACTTTATTTCTTACCTAACTGATGATTAACCCTAAAAGATTACATTAAGAAATAAATTCGTGAATTCTGGACATGGAATTATTGCCAAAAGAGCAATGGTATCACATAATTAAAGAATGTCTTATATGGATGGGAAATCTCTCACAGAAAAATTGTTTCTACGGCAAGTCTGAAACCTGCTGGCATTTCAGTGGATGTAGACCAACAACCGATCAAAGGAGACAGTACTATACCTCTATACTGTGTATCAGTTTTCTTGTGATAATACACTCCCTGTCCGTCTTTCAAGTTTTGTTTCCAGGATCCTTCGTACCAGTCTCCATTAGCATACGTGTATTTTCCCTTTCCACATCTTTCTCCTGCATTCCATTCTCCCTCGTACATTGACCCGTCTGGGTAGATAAACGTACCCTTTCCGTGCTTTCTTCCACGAGAGTACTCTCCCTCGTATCTATTATAAAGCAACAATGAAGGTTTAATTTTAATTTTTTATTTTTTCACAGGCCCGTAGGGCGAGGTAGGCAAGGGCAAACGAACTAGCGAAACTTTCAATCTAACACTGCAAGATAAACCAAAAACGTTGATTCGAATTCAAACCTTATGATATGGCCCGTATAGGGAAATATTTACCGAGCTCTCGAAAACGACCCGAGGCCAAAGGACAGTTTTGTGAATACGGAAGATCACCGTATGGTTGGCTTGTTTGCACAATTTTTACTGTGCAATTATATTAATCTATACCGATCTTGTTTGTAGGATTTTCATTTTTCATAGTACAAAATTAATCTATTATTTACCACACGAACCTTGCTCCATTTTTAAACTTGTATTTCCCAAAGCCGTGTCTCTTCCCTTCGCGATACTCGCCGACATATTCATCCCCAGTTCTTAGCGTTGCTTCGCCCAAACCGTGCCTTTGACCCTCTTCATTCCGAGCACCGTTGTATATGCCAAAACGTAATGCGGGGTCTAAATCGCCATCAGCACTATCATAATCAGACATTTTCGAAGCTTTCAAACTATCGCCACTTTCGCCACGCGACTAATTACATTAAATGGAACAAAAGAATCGTTACGTGCGATAATTAGAAGAGTTAATTAGCTGGAAGAACATTTCTGTCACAAATGTCGCGTATGCGCGCGCATCACCTGACCGAGGATAATGAATTTGTTTATTAAATGTGTAACAGGGCACTGTAAAAAACGGGCGGGGAAACGGCTGTACTACCCCTGATCTATTTGCGATCGCGTACTCCCCGATATTGACGACAATTAAATTTTTTTGAATAATGAAACTAATTTGGACCAGCCTACCAACAATAAGTTGGATTGTTATATACATAGGTGCTTTGTATTTTAAATGTGATTGGTTCATTCGTAGTCACATGACATTAAATATAACGATAACAAAACTTGTTGCAGTGCCAGTACTATAGGAGAATGAGTCGTCAAATTTGCAAAAATATACTCTTGCTGCTTTAACAATCTGCGTAGACACAGAAAAAATACTGTTCACAACAATAGCGAAACGTGTCTCAATTCAATTAGGAATTGAAGCCTTGCACATGATTTGACCACGTCAAGTTTGACGAAGACTGATTGAAACACTACAAAAGAAAAAGATCCTTGGATACCGCGGCTAATAGAAGCAAAGCGATGAAGTAATACAGCTGTATGCAAGAAAGCTTTATTTGCAGTGCTTTCAATGAGCACTTGAATAATAGAGACCTTTAGCTTAACCAATATGACAAACCGCAAACAGCTAATTTCAAATAACATTTAAAATTAGATTTTTGGCAGTTTCTCGGCCACAATTTTTCTCAGTAGTTATACTCTATATGTTTGAAAATAATGCACCAATTTTCTCGGTCTCAGAAACCTAGCATTTGTTTTGAAAATTCGAAATGAATTACTCTGTTTGCCGTTGGGTTGTCGTAAACGTCAAGCTAAAGATCTCTATTATCATGCATAAACTCCAGAAAGAATTTCTATAGAGCGCATTTTGTAGATGGGACACCGGAAGAAAGATCCGGCAGATACGAAGGAAATTCAGATAGATATGGTTGTGACTTGAGTAGATGTATGACTTACGCCTTCTGCGTATAGATACACCCAGTGGCGTAGCCAGCCCGACAATTTAGTCATGCTATGCTAATATTTTGGTGTTCATCGATTGTGAAAACAATGAGTTTCTAAAGAAATGAATAATGATAATAACATAAAATTTACATAGCATGACTAAATCGTCAAGCTGGCTACGCCACTGGATACACCTGTGAAGTCGTTATGCGTAGAAAACGCATAGACATTTAAAAAATCTACAAACATGCATTCTGGCATTCTCGAAAATACAGTTTCTAAAATCATTTTCTATCTTTTGACCTTGTTTACTTCTATTAATGGAAACATATACACAAACATAATAAAAGCGATGGGATCTAAACTATAATTTATTTCCTGTTAATATTTACACACAACTTCAACGATGTTAATAAAGAGATTGCAGTTGGACATTTTTCTGATTAAATTTCGTTAGCTTGAAAAATGTTCGAATCAAAATATTCTTGGTGAAATAGTGCGTGGGGGAATCTACGGTTATACTGTAAAATTCCTGCTGAACACACCGACTTCAAGTTTTGATAAAAAATTCCTGGTTTTAAAGTCACAGCTAAAAACATGGTAACGTCTATTCAATAAAATGGATGATTTTGTGTAGCGAGGTAAAAAAGGAACAAAATATGAACTAAAAAAGTCAACTTTCCTCTTTCTATATAGGCTAGCTTTTTGCGTAACATCATTTGGCGTCATCAGTTTTAGGTGATTTCTTTTGTCGCGATCTTTTTCGCCTGGGGTTTCTATTTAAATTACCCCCAGGACTTTGCTCGTGAGGCATCTTGGCATTCACCTCCCGGAGATCTCCGGTAACTTTCACAACCAGTTGGGTTTTATCCACGGTCGGCGTGTTCTCATTATCACCTGTCGTTATGAAATGCCTTCCATTTGGTGTATTTTGGTTTTGCCTCTGTTGTTGTTTTGAATGTTTTTGTTGTTTATGCGCGTCTTGGTTTTCCTGTTTTTGATGCTTGCCTGGTGATTGTTGTTGTTGTTGTTGTTGTTGTTGTTGTTGTTGTTGCTGCTGTTGTTTTTGTTGCTGTGATTGTTGTTGGTTTTGTTCCGGAGCTTGTCGTCGAGGTTGCTGTTGTTGTTGTTTTTGTTTCCGTGATTGTTGTTGTTTTTGCTTTTGTTGCTGTGATTGTTGCTCTTGTTGCGGTGATTGTGATTGTTGTGGTTGGTGTTGTTTTTGTCTGTCTTGCTGTGACTGTTGTTGTTTTTGTTGCAGTAGCTGTTGCTGTGGTTGTTCCTGTTGTAGCTGCTGCTGATGTTGTTGATGCTGACGAGAATGTTGCTGATGCGTTTCATGTTGCTGTTGCGGATGCGACTTCTGTAAAAATGCGGGTGCTAATGGTCGTGGATTTCTATAACGAATCCTAATCTCTCGTGGTTTCCTCCGTTCTCTTTTTTGCCCTACTGGCAATTGCTCGCCGTGTTGAACATTTTGAACATGTGTTTGGTTTTCTGGTTCGCTAGACTTTTTCTCTTGCGGTGAAACGTTATTGGAGTGAGTTGAAAGCTTCGATATTTCTCCTTCTTCATCTGGATTATGAGATGGTAGTCCCCGATGGAATGCAATGTTGTCTTTAACAAGATCATTTTCTTTCATACAACCGCTATCCTTCTCCGCTTGGCCGCCTTCCTGTTTCCGTTTGTTTTTCTGTCTATTTTTTGAATTCAACGTGAACGTGTCACCTTTGTTGGTGGTTTTTGGATTCATCTACATCAAAATAAATCACCTTGGATAACTTTTTAGGCACAAGAAAAAGAATCACTATTGCTATGTAAAGGCAAATGCAATGATTTATACCGTTCAGGGAATCGATATAAACGTTTTCTTCGCACATATTTATATAACTTCAAAAATACAACAAGAAATTGAAACAAAATAATAACACTTCCTCCTCATGATAAAACACTGTTCGACATAGCAATTTGTTGAATTTTGGATTCTTGCAGGAAAAAGTGTAGAGTTCAAAGGTCACAGACCACACCAAAAATTCAGGGCAAAGTTGTGGAGGATGGCAAATTCATAATATCTCGTTTGTTTCTTGAGATTGGATATGAGTATATGAATCTACATATTCTTACCGTAGCTATATTTTGGACCTTCGGGGGTTGTCTGAATTCGACGTTTGCGTCATCACTGCCAAGTCCATCGTCTCTACTTGCCTTTTTCAAGGCCGAACTTTCGTCTTGATCAGCACTCTGATCGGGAGAACTCCCCTCATTTACATTCATCGTGCGTAGTGCATCTAACAAAGAGGGGATTATATCCGGTACTTTTTCAGTTGGAACAGGGATTGTCTCGCCTTTTTCTGCTACTTGGAAACCATAAGTCTTGTCCTCCTGTGGAGATTGAGGATGGTCATATCTTTCTAACTCCTCGCATGAGATGACACGCGGACTACGGCTCACTGGTGACAAGGGATTGTGCTCGACTCGTTGGGGAGATTCAAATGGTTGGTAAACAGGCGGGGAGTTGATCAGAAGCATGTTATCTCTCTGGAATGCGTCAAACTGAAAGGGATTGTCTGGACTTCCAAATAGCTGCGCACCTGGACCTATTGCACATTGGGGACCAGCAGGTACGAATCGAGGTCCACTGGAAACCTCAGAAAATATCGGCCGAGTGCATGGGATCATAGAATTAGACGGGTGCAGTCCACTTAAGGGTGACATTGGTGGTCTAACAGGCAAAGACTGTTTGTCAGGAGGTGACCCTGGCGCCATATTCCTGGGCATCATGTCGTGTGATGGATATGGCAAACGGTTTCTCGGAAACATACCCAGAGGTGGCATTGCCGCGACTGGAGAGCGAAGTCTCACGGCCGAAGGGGGTTGCAAATAATTCCACATGCCGGGAGGGGAGTTCATTCGCATCGGGCGTGGTTGCGTGGCCGAAAAAGGGAACGTAGGTAATATTGTCTGTTGTGGCTGTGGATAGGCTGTAGAATTTTGGAAAACTGGAATGTTGCTCGGGTTGTTTACTTTTGTAGGGGGTGTCTGTCTCACGGGAGGATGTTGAACAACTTTGGTTGCTTCTTATATAAAACAAAGACAAGAAGAGCACATTTGAGCATTTTTTCTTCGATTAGCAATATCAAGGTCGACTACATATGCAACCCATAAAATATTTCTGTGGCGATAATTAGAATGTAATGATCGAGTTTAGGTAGTTTAAGGTATTTTAAAAAACTTTGCAATACATTATGTAATTGAAAAAGTTTGTATTGGTGTATTTATTAGCCTTTTGACGGACATGATGTCAAATCGGGAATTGCCAAATCAGTTTTCTTTTGTTTCAGTTGCACGAAATTCCCGATTTGACGTGACTTTAAAGGCTAATGAATCCATCAAGACAATTGTTTTCAATCACAAAATGCATTGTAAAGTTTTTTAAAATACTTTAAACTTTCTATATATCACAAATCCGCAACCATGATATAGGCACTTTGAATCTTGGCCTGCAAATTCTATTATAATGCCTATATAATGGAGTTAATATAACTTCTCATAAGTAATTGCAAATTCCTAATACCGTAAAGAGAACTATGAGGCAGTACCCCTGCTGTAGGTATAGGATTATATAATGAGTTTATAAATCGCGCAACCGATTATTTTGCCATAAAGGGATAGTGTATACCTTGGATTTTGCTTTTGTTCAACATTTCTTGCTTAATTCCTTCTGGAGGTCTCTCAATGCTTTTCCGATCGTTGTTCTGTTCCTTTTTCTCGGGTGCGCTTTGTGCATCTCCCTCGCGGTTGCCTTTGGAGGCTTTCTCATTTTGTTCACCTTTTTCCGCTTTCTCCTGATGAACCTTCTCTTGCTTACCTTGTTCGCCTTTTTCATCCTTTGTCTTCTGGCCTTTCCCTCGCTTTGATCTATTATTAAAGGGACATTCCTTAGCCAAATGACCGATCTTTCCGCAGATGTTGCAATTTCTTCCAGTCGGAGGCAGGCGTCCATCGGTGAGGTAAACCGTGTCGAAGAAAAAGCGCTGTCGATCCTGAATACCTCGTGGTATATCTTCACGCGCGGTTCCGAAGCGCTGACGAGCCCTCTCGAACGTTGAACGAATGTATTTCACCATGCCCAGAGTGAGGGCGGCTCCAAGGTTGTGCGATAAAACAAAGGGATCTATAAGTAGAACGATATTGTGTTTAAAGTTTAATTTACGAAAAATGTAGCTGCGCGCCAGAGGTAGCTAGGCACTAGGTGTCAGCATTTTCACATTCTAGAAAGCTACACGCGAATACAGGATCGTAAACCGTTTACTTTCACATCTGAAGATGATTAACCAAAAACATTGGTCTGACGCTGTGATTACATTATGATGAGGCGGAAACTGAGCTACAATAGTGTTAAAAACCGTGTGTTTCGAGAAGTTTCTGTCAGTGATAAAAAGCACGCAATAAAACATTCAATAATTTGATTTTTATCTTTTAACATGTTACATTTTGTAAGGGAATCCGAAAATTCGCATATTTAACCAAAAGCGCAGTGACCACAAAGCCATGTGCTCATATAGTATAGCTGTACGTCGATAAGATATATGTTTACTGGAAACATTTAATTTTAAAATGTTTGCTTTTTACGGAGAGGCTAATATTTGTGATCTTTTGACTATACATGCACTCTAATTGATGCTGTATGGTTGGTCATGTTACTTCCATGTATATACACTATACAAAAGCTTCGAACGCTAACCTTCAATACATATTTGTCTCCCATTCCAGAGCTTTTCAAACTTCGTCAGGGGCCTGAGGTAACGAACACACACAACATTGCGACGATAATCAAATTCTTCTGTGTAATAACGAAGAAATCCCAGCCATAATTCACCGAAACTCTCCTTATTTTGTGCTGTCCATTTTGTTCTCTGAAAATAGTTAGTGAGAAGATTCAGCTAGCGTCGTTTATTAGAGAGTTTAAGATTAATAAATAAAACGCCAAACGCCAGGCAAAGAAAAATTTTGTCTCAGAAGTATTAAAGAGCAAATTGACTCTAAAACTCCAGGTACAACAAATGTTACAAATTATCGGAAAGAACTGAGTATTAAACGAAGAAGAACGAACAAAAATTATCAGAAGACGTTATCATACGTCCAGGGTTTGGGGACAGATTTTACTAAATTGTTAGAAACAGCTAGGACGTTTCAATTTATCTACGAAGCTCAAGGGTAAAAAGAAATAGTTCAACAAACATTCCAACACAATTTGAGGGAACAAAAAAAATTTCTCGTATTTTGACCGGTTTGATGATACTATATAATAATTAACGCAGCTTCAGTTTTTTATGAGACACCCTGTATGTATGACAGGATTGCTATAAGAAAGTCAATAGTATATGAATTCTATAACCCAAGGATACAAATATTAATTCTTTGTCATTAAAGTGCCCCTGACACAAAATGCGATTTTTACACTGTGGAAAGGACTCCGAGTATGTGTCCGAGTATTTCGCTGAAAGAATTTTTCGATTTCATGAAAACGTCGCAATTTTAGAGACGTTTGAAAGCCTCAAAATTGGGGGTTTCGGTGGTACATGTTCGTGGTAATAAGGAAACTGGAACGAGGGTAATTTTTGACGTCACACAAGTGAGTCTGAGTGCTTCGTGTTTCTGTATCATATGTATAAGCATACTGACTTATTTATGTCGATCGTTGAGAGAATATGGCATAGGAAACATGTGTTAAACAACAACATGTGTTAAATTCGCGTCCTGGTCGCATACAAGTGACTCCGTAACATTTACTGTATCTATCTGCAAAACTATAAACAGACATTTCGCTTAGTGACGACATTTATGGATTCCGCACTTTCACCTTTATAAGGACAAAAGTCAACACATCGCGGTCAATATGTGGCGACATTTGACTATTGTGATGACTGGCAATATTCGCTATATATTACTCGTCTACCGATATTTCAAACGTTATACGCAGTTTGTTATGAGTTTGCTCTGTGCCTTTTGATAGGTTTCTGGCCATTTCTGACCGTCATCTAGCGGCTTTTCACAACATGCTAAACCGGGTATAAATCTAAGTCGTTGTCAACCTATCATATAGCATGCGCGCATCAAACCTGAACGCTGGTATTCTTCACATCTTCTTTTTCGACGGTGCAAGGTATAAACTTTGACCCTAACCCTGATAGCTAGTATAAAAATTGGATCCTGCGGTCGACAATATTTGAAATACTGTGTATTAAAAACAGCATAGGACCTTAGTGAGTTTGCAGCGAACCACTTGCGTGACGCCACTAAAATCGCTAGTTCCAGTGTTCTGTTACGACGTCCATGGGTTCAAAAATATATCGATTCAAACGGCTCTCGTTTTTACAAAATCGAAAAATTCTTTCACCATAACACTCGGACAAATGCGTACTTTCCATGGTGCAAAAATTGCATTTTGCGTCAGGGGCACTTTAAACAACACATTGATTACTTTGTCTTTAAAGAAATAATCAAAAGTAAATAAACGGCGAAAAGTTGCTGTACGCAACAATCCTAGTTGTTCAAAAACTTAACACTGCTGAAGGATTCGCTTACCAAGTTTTTTAAATCGGAAAAGAACCAGCAGTTGTGTCCTTCAACAATATTCTGTGGTTGTTCTTTGCCATCATACAGCTCTTGCAAAACAGGTAAAACTGGTGGGCGACGTTGTTGCAGAAAATGTAATAGCATCAGAATGTAGGCGTACGACGAGAGACTGCCTTTTGAAGCATCACCGATATCACATAGCTGTATATACAAACAATTAGAAATCGTAAACTTTCCCTCTAAGCAGATACGGCGCAACGTTGACATAGGAATATAAGGATGATCGTAATGTACTAAATATCCTGACCTGTAGGAAAATCTCGTGCATGATATAATTTATAAGATAGTAACTCTTCTAAGGTTTTCCGCCATCCCCTCTTTTCGGCAATGGCAAAGAAGAATATCATGCTGCGAAATGCTTGAGCAATTAGATTGGGGTTTTTCACAAGTGGTTAGCTAGTTCAAAAAGGTTAGCAATGTAATCCGCTCCTAGCAATACGCAGTGCAATGAGGAGAAAAAGGAGAATGCAGGTATACAATCTGAAGTATGCAGTAGACCATTCTCAAGATAATCGTTCCCGGCCCTTCTGCACGTTTCTGGACAGTACGTTGGCTAAATAGTGCAGATACAGTTGACCTAACAAGTGCAGTTCACTTTCTTAACACCCTTGGGAGCTTGAGAATGAAAGATGGTCAAGACTGATCCAGTTTGCTACTCTAAAATTTGTCTAAAAAATAGCAACCATTGACTATGCGCTATCGCTATTGGAAGATAGTTCAGACTAATCAGGTTTGCTTGTCCATAATTTGGCCAAAGAATATAGACTACTCTGTTACTTGAAATATGGTTTAAAAATCGAAAAATAGAACGATCATCCTGCATGGGAAAGGCTATACCATATGCATGGTGAATAATGTTGCAACTAACCTTTACAAAAATCTTGAGTGTACACCCCAGGACATGGACACGAGGATCAATTTGAACGTATGCCGCTAACAACTTTGTGTTCCACAGAGCTACTTCGTTATACAAACTAATATCTGCTTCAACCTTCGCATGTTTGATGAAAAATTTTACAATGGGCACTTTGGCGCCAGTGATGGGGATTACGTCCGAGCACTCGGGGTTCTTCCTAAGCATTGCCGCGAGTCGTGTGATGTATTCGATGCAGTCTATATCGCTCTTTTTCTTGCCTTCCAATGTCATACAAAGATCCATATCACTGCCCGTGAAACCAAAGCCATTGCAAGACGAGCCAAACAAATGCAGCATAGCGTCTAGAAGATAAAAGATGCACAGTAAGCATTATATACCATTTTACAAGCGAAACATAAACATTGCATATAAAAATTAACCAGATCTGCTATGAAAGTTTCCATGCCTCTAATACCTAAGCAGCTAGACGTTGGTCCCAAGATAAACGAGTCGCGTTTTAACTTCTGCCAGTAACAATATACTGACGTTTCCAGCAACACTCGTCGCTCCTCGTTTCTTTACATCGTGAATATTGATTAAGGCCTGACGGCACATGCGCAGTTGCGGCGTATAATACAAAAATCGGGTGTTCCGGGGGTAGATTCTTTAAAAACAAAACCCACACCAGGGAAAAGCAATGTTTCAAAATTTACAGCAACGGGCGAGATTCTTCAACATTTTTATGAACTTAGAAAAAGGGATAGAGAATTAATACATAAAACAAGTAAACTGATTTAAAAACTTTACATTACTGATCACGTACGAAAAATTACTATAAGCATAAATCAACACTATAGTTCCCCGGAAGTTTACACCATGACTGACTGACTGCCTGCCTCGTTTATTGCGTATTGCGCGCGCTTTTCTTTATAACTCTCGCAGCATTCTCGTGTGTTAGGATCAGGCCATCCAAACACGGAAACCATAAAGTAATTGTTTAATACTTACCCGGGATATGGTTCCTAATATAGGTTTCCAGTGCACGGAGATAAAATTGCCGTTTTGTAACGTCCTCTTGAGTGATACCGAAATCCTCTAAAATAAAAACATGGAAACAGCTTATATACTCACGGAGGCGAAGGCGAATGTGGGCTTGTGATCACCGAGTCTGTGGCGATTATTTGTTTTAGTATAACTTTAGTGTTGAAAAGTTTAATTTATTAATACACTATTTTCGCAAATGAAATCATTTAGTAAATCCAAAAACTTTGCATGTATATGGTATGTGATTCACTTCGACGAATTTTAGGGAAATGTGGCTCAGAGACCGGTCGATATTACAGAATTTCTATTATGTTTAACTATTTGGGCAAAGAGCACGTGAAATTTAAGCTCGTCGTTAAGAGCAGAATCAGACGCTCGTTTTATACATGCTACCTACATCTTACCTTTGCAACAAAAACAGACTTTGGTCAAGACATCTTTAAACCAATCAGGCATAAGTGGCAACGGCTTTACCGTTCTGGTGACCTGATCAGCGGTACAGTTATCAACAATATGATCCTCCTCGCCGCAGAACGTACATGTCGTGTCAAGAGTATTTCCTTTACGAAGTACCGAATCGTCAAAAATATATTCGGCATTTTCCCAATCGCCGAGCAAATCACAAGATGGAGCGGACAATGCCTCCTTTGCAACCTTCGAATCGATATTAGCAATCTCGCGGGGAGAACAAGGATCTTCCAAAAGTGACTGGTCTGTAATGATTGTAGAATCAGCACCGTCGTTATCACTTATAGAACTGTCGTTAATCGTATCCATCGCAAAAATACCATCAATCAAATCTTCATTGTCACTTCCATTACCAGCTTCATGGCCGTTTTCATCCTCAACTTCACCATCAATTTCATCATCAAGTTCAACTTGTCGCCTATCTTCATCGCTGTCAATATGTTCAATCTCGGGATCCTGAGGGCGAATTCCGTGCTTCGAAGCACTGCCTTTTTCCATATCATTAGGATCGTTTATCCGGTGATGGTCATTGCTTTGAATTTCTTTTAACTGAGAAGCTAAATCAACAAATATTGAGAGGTACAGTCTACCTAAACTTTAGAACTGAAAGTATGTATACATATATTCTCAAACATCCTTTAAAGTCATTCTCAAAGTCTTGAAATATATTGCTAATATCATGGCAAAATTGTCGTCTTGTTTTCTCTCATATTTCGAGGTTGAGGTTAAAAGTTGTTTTCTGGAACATGTTGTTCCTGGTTATATTTCACCAAATTGCCTGCTAGTAAAGATTCGCAGAGTTTGCCATCACAATATTAATTGATGGCCTGATAGAGACGGATCATTCGTCTAGACGAACTTGGGCAAGCGAAAGATAGTTGGTCTTCTAGTTCGTCTGTGTGTAAACACGGGCAAAAATGAAGGCGGATCATCCGTCAACGCGAATTATCCTCATAGTTTGTCTATTTAGATGAATTTGAATGAGTAGTTCGCCTTGACGTGTGTTTATACTCAGACGGATAATCCGTCCCTAGTATAAATCGGGCCAATCTAAATAATTGCACTTGCCCATTTACGTATACCGTAAAATCAATGCACAAACGTTTAATTTTGGGCAATAATCAAATAGGACAAAAGTATTATTCTAGGCCTTAAGAGAAACAAAGAACAGCAAAGCGACTGCAGTTCACAATTATATACATGTACTGTACACTACGACAGCGGAAAAAACAATCAAACAAGAAATGTCGAATATATATTTCTTTGATGCATGCTTAAGCTTCTCCGTCAATAATCTATTCTATTCTGCGTAAACATCACAAGTATATTTGTGTTATGTTTGCAAGATGAAGAAGTTCTAAGATTGTTTCGTTTCATATTTAGGGCGATGTATGTATACACACGTAACGAGTTTTGTTAATTAACTAACCTGTCAATGGAAAATCGGGATGGCCAGAAAAATACACCAAAGCCACGTTCAAATGCTCGATTATATATCGATATGCTAAAAACAAGGTTGGATTGCAAGTTTTTGTATTCGACAATGCAAAAAAAATTGGTCGAGTACTATAACTCAGTTATCTACCAGCAGATACCTGAATTTTGCGTGATTGCGCAATTTAACTATTAGCCAATCAAATTGCTTTTACCAACTGCAATGTATAATAACATATTTTACTATATTGCTTTTCAAGATCCTGTATTCTGATTGGTCGACGCGCGGTCCGAAAAGCCCATATCTGGACCGTGGTCTGTATCTATATTCCCTATCTGGACTAGTGTCCCGGATGTCTTATGCAGTTCAGCCATATCATAGTCAGATTATCGACCTCGCTTGTTCGATCTGTACTGCGAAATATCAGACCAATGCTAAAAAGCCTCGGTCTGATATTCCACAGTAAAGACCGCACGCTCGGTCAATAATCAGTTAATATACCTATACATTGTATATAATTATCATATATACAAATATATTCGGACGGTTCTATGGTACCTGCCGCACATGCCGCTAAAATGAAAACAGCTCCTCCTGCATGAATTCCCCATATCTTTGTTTTTGTACATAGTGTTGGTATAAATAATAGGCACTCCCTTATTTTTCAAAAATATGTCTAACGATGCGGTCGATGCCGTATACGAATTCTCAAAGGCTTCTATTGCGCGACCACCCTGAACATAGCTCGCTTAAATTTAGGACTTACCGTTGAGTTTTATCAGTGTGCGTGCAACATTTCTTTTTAAAGAAAATGGATCTGTAAAAAATTTTGGTCGGACGATAAGAGTATGAATTACTAAGTACAAATTCCTTCGAATTAAATCAATCCCCCCCCGGCTGGGCCCGATATTTCACAATTACTTCTATTATTATATTAGCATAATATTTTCAATGAAATTTAAACCCGGTTTGGACGTATTGTTTGGGCTCATTTTCGCTTATAAGTTTAGCTCATGATATAACACGACATCGAAGCCGGGCGTAAGTGAATACACCCTTATTATTGATCAAAGTACAGTAAACCTATTCATTAAGCTATGCTATCAGCGAGGTTCATGATCATATACTGCGGTACAGTCAACAAGTGTACGCTATAGGCATGTCTGGATAAGTAATTATATCTTCTTTTTCTTAGGTGGATTTGGCTGCAGGGGATGTAGTATAGTTAGCTATACCAACTTTTTTTCATCGCTGTTTTTAATAAATATAGCAACACGACAACCCCTTATAAATCAGCATGTTGTTGATTAACGCATGACGTTGTTAACTAGCAGGTCAATCAAAACGACTGGTGATGTTTACGACGATGACTAAATTACAGATTAAAAAAGATTCAACAGAAAACAACATTCAAGCTAAGTCTATTATATACCACTTATATTATGCACCCTAGCATCGTACCTTCGATGGCTAACTTGAACTTTTTCCCCCAGGATTTTTCTGATCTTTTTAATTCTTTCTTTCGACGAACATTTACGATGCATAACTCGTTTCTTTCGTAGTTGGTGTAAAACCTGCAATACGATATATTTTTTATGACTGATTCAGAAAAGATCAAAGTGTTCATCAACAGAATAACAGAAAAAATTAAGGTGGAAATGCAAGCTAATTATTGTCGTCGACACGCTTTTCATGGCTACTTGACTTAATATAGCTACGTAGAACCTTTAAACCTTAAAAATAAAGCCCCGTTCATACTAGTCTTTATACTTTTAGCACGATACGGTGACCTTGGTACTCGTATTCGATTTCATTAGTGTTCAAAGGCCGAGTACAGGTGTACGCGGGTACCCATTTTAACACCATTTTAACAGTGCCGATAAATCGAATATACCATACAACCAGTCCAGGGGCCGGTTGCATGAAAACTGGATAGCGCTATCCACCGGATAGTGGATTTTTCCATCGCTCTAAAATCGCCTATTGTTGGTTGAAACTTTGATTAAACCTTAGTGTTCCTAAATTGAGGATCTTCTTTAATAATTGTTGCTGCCCAAGCTAAAATTTTGTTGCTTTTCAAGCATTTTTAGAACGGTTAAAAAAATCACTATCCGGTGGATAGCGCTATCCAGCCTTCGTACAACTTGCCCCAGAACAATACCTGTACAATACAGTTAACCATACACAGCATGCTGAATCGTAAAAGGCTAAGCAAAGCATGCTAAGGGCTTGTTTTCATATAATCGTAATTGTCGTGAACAAGTCATTTTGAATGTGAAAATTTGTTTTTATTCTGGTAAAGGAGGTAAATGCGAAAAACAACTATTTAGATGCAGATATAAATGCGTTCATTGATAACGAAATGCTTTTTACAGAGAAATAAAAAAAACTAGTATATAACACACCTGAGCAATCCGAGCCAAAGTTCTCCAAGAGACAGTGTATTTGTCCTCTTCCACATCTTTTGCTGAAAAGCAAGAAAAATTGCTTCCAAACGCTATTACACGCTGTATGGGAGGTTTGCTTCTCACCCTACTGTGTCATAACAATATTATTTTGAACTTACCAGAAGCACAAGTAACCCTGAGTCGCCTTCTTCGAAATATTTGGGTAATTCGTTCCCAAACTGCGAAAAAAGATCACATATTTTAGTCGTAATAGTCGACAATAGCAAGCTAAGAAAAATCAGGGGCATTAACAGATTACATACATAGAAATATGATTACATATAATATTAACCAGGCGTACGATGGCTGTATACAGTACAAAAAATGTCTGACAGTTTTTTTGTACAGACCGGAGAGTCACATTAATTAAAGCAATAGAAAACATTTTCCGTGTTTATATACAGTTATAGAAACACGCGTGGGAGTTTGGAGAAACGAGAAATAATCAGTTGGTAAAAGAGCCCGTACGTCGAGTTTTTTCACGTTACTTCGAGTTCTCCAAAACTCCTAGGCGTGCTTAGCTATAACGGTATATAAACACGGGAAAATGCTTTCCATTTCTTTTATAATAATTATAACTGAATAATATGAACTAGTGTTTATGTTCAGAAAAATTCGAAGCATGCGAAATTTTCGCAATTTTTACATCTCACATTGTTATGAGCATAACTCATGCGCAGAGCTTGACTTCGACTTAATATTTCCGTACCTTTTCATGGATGACAGGTAAAACAGGAGGTTGGATTTGTTGCAGATAATGGATAGCCATTAAAAAAAACGAGTAAGGTGGCAAGGTGCCGGCGTTTGGACGATCCACCTGACAAATCTGAAAAGATACGCAATGTATATAATGCAGGCTTTTGGTGACTGTAAAGGCACTCAAAAACATTTGTTAAGTGACATTGAAAATTATCATTGATTACCTTTGCCCATAGTCTAAAACAATGGCATAACGGTCTGACACGGCTGTCTAGGTCGCCATAAACTTTGAGGAGTGAAGTAGTAAAAAATGCCTGATGAAAAGAATATATCAGTAAAGTTCTATCCGTACGTACACTTTTCGAAGAGTGGTAGCGCCTTTTCACGCGGAATGGTACAAATTTATTTACGAAATTTGCACAGCTTTTTTTCATTTTCAACATTTCGCAACCCAACTTTCTAATTTGACAAATTTTGGGATGCTCTTTGGCTAGCTGTACATCCCGTGCAATGCATGCAGTACTGATAAATACTTGTGGTTCAGTATTTAGCTTAATCTAGGGAAATGAATTAAATATCAGTTTGGCAATTGGCAAATACTGCAATATTTGTAGCAAAGAGGGATGCGCTTCGAGCATTAATTATATAGCTATCTTAATTCTGTAATTAGCTATTAAATTACGAGAGATACTTACAGAAGTGTTTCCAGCGCTAACTTTGCATGTTAGTCCACTAAAAATCGGAAACAAATACGAGATTGATGTGAGTTAAATGACGGTAAAAAACACAACTAGTGAATTTACATAAATAGTTTCATCACGTACAGACATTGTACTTTACAGCACATTAGTACAGTTGTTATCAACTTATTGCGATGTTATGCTCTACGCCTAAACTGTTGTAACTGTATTAATATCGATGATTCGAAAAATGTCACATACATATTTTTCAACATTCTTGCATGTGGCTATACCTGTCAACATCTTTAAAATTGATAACGGGCCATTTACTTTCAAACTGTTCTTTAATTTCAGTGAATTGCTCTAAATAACAGCAAATTTCACGTTAAATGTTACCTGAGGCATATCGTTTTTAAGTTGGTCGGTATAATTGTCATGTTCCTTAGCTTCGGTCAGAACAGTTTAAACCACTGAAAACAGTGCATTTCGGTGGATCAGAAATAGACCTTTAATTTTCTAACATATTATGCCCAAAAAATTGATACCAGCCGTATTACCGGCGGAAACCAGCAGTACTACTTTAAATAACATACCGCAGCCTTGAAGTACTTTTAAAAATGCAATAAAAATTCCAGGAATTTTTTCCTGCAATTAAAGCAAAGGAAACTGGTGACAATGTGAAAATGCGCATACAGCACTAATCTGGCAATGAAAAAAAAACTACATTTTCCATTTGCTCAATAGTACAGAAAGGCCAAACAAAAGAAATCTCTAGGAAAGGTGAAGACTGCCTACAACTGCAGTTGCATGGCCTCGACCGTTTGACAGAGATTAAAAGGTGGGGAAGCCATGAAAAATTGATATAAAAATATAACATGAACAAGACACTACAAAATGTTTTTGTGCACTTGCCCCGTCTTCACAAAAAGTGAACTATTTCAGTTGAAATTAATTCAGTTGAAAAATTAATTACTATACTTTGTTGTGATTTTCCACACTGAAGTGATTTCCTTTTAAAATTTTAATGTAAGGCAGTGTATTCTTTGTTGGATTTAAGAGGTGAAAATTCCTGACATAAACTTCAGTTGCGGAATGCGGATAAAATCGGGACCCTTACTACAGGAAAAAAGAACAGATTATGGTAGTTCACAAGTTGAACTACCATAATCTGTTCTGTTTCGATCTATAGGTTCTATATTTTCTACACTTTCTTATGTACTCCACCTCATTTTCTTCATCCATGTCTATATTAACATCACTAGTTTTTAAACCAAGACCACTTTTCGAAGAACCATATAGCCGTAGAGTGCAACCTATATATTGAAGACATTGATGGTAATCAAATTTCCCGTTGTGCGGTACATAGACTTTAGAACTAGTGACCAGTTAATTAGTTCTAACTAGTCCTTGAAAAACGAAATAGTGTTTCCAATTGAAATTATAAGAGGCATTTCAATCTACATGGCTACTGTAAAAGGACTGTCATGTAAAAGGACTGTCATGCAGAAGGACTACAATTAAAGGACTGTTAGTCAAAAAGCTTTCCTAATTTATGTACGCTAATGAACAAAGTGAAATGTTTACTTTGTCAAAATGTAATTTTTTACATAATTTTTTATTGAGACATTTAAATATAATTGTATAGTTGAAATACTCTTGAAAATTTTGCTGCGGGTTCGATTAATGTGTTTAATTTCACCAATGATTTTTTTAAGAAAGAACAAAAAGTTGGGGGTGATGTTCACATGAAATAGATACACAAAAGAGATTTTTATAGGCTCTTACAGTGCATTAGAGACAAATCCATAGCAAAACCAGTACCTTTAATTTTCTGTTCAAAAAGTTTTCTGACATTATTGAAAACCATCCATCTCAAATCCAAATCTTCTTTTAACAGGCCATAGTCTGAAGATACACTGTTCAAATGCTTGCCCAGAGCAGCTAGATGCCGTGGACCTGGTACTGGCAAATTCTGTACCACAAATTCCTAAACACAAATGATATTGAGATTGCATGAAAGAAGGTGCATGATATAAATGCCATATGCCACATTAAGGCAAATGATCCTTGAAATAAGATCCGAACTCTCATTTGCATATATGATTTGCCGTCTCTGCATGAGTTTGCCATTCATGCTGTACATCTGTAACAAATCATCCAGGCTGTTTAAAATGCTTGGTGAAACTCACCAATACCAAATCAGATGGATAGATAAATAATACCAAATAGATACATCTACCATCCATTGGACGGCTATTTGTTATATCAAAATGTGATCTACAACAACATCTGCATCAGCATGACTCAAGGCTACAAAACTTGAGCTTAACTACAAGCCTTGCTTAAAGGGGTCAAAAGAATGGCCATGCTGTTGTTTGACACCACAACTTATAAATGCACCAATTTTCTTAATTCAGGTACTTTGCTTAGTGAGCATGCCATCAATAACCTTCTAATGGAAAGGTGAATAGCTACATCTGTTAGATAAACTTAATTTACCTAGAGTAGTATAGTAGCTTTCTAACATTTTGTATGTACCTGGTTACGGTACTGTAGGTGTTCTCTAGTGCCCACTTAATGTATAAAATCACAAAAAATATGATATGCATGACATTGATGACAACATTAGTAAATGGACTACCAGAAATTTACTTTAAATCAACCAAACACATTTTTCTTTTTTAAATCACCCTTCACACATCCACATTTGAAAGTTTAGTTTTGAAAAATTTCTGCTATTTTTTGCTAAGCCTAGAACGCAAGCTTGTCAACTTTTTGGCCTATAATAGTTGCGCTGGCACTGGCTAAACAGTCTTTGCAATGGCGAACAAGTGGTTCAGATGGCCAGATACAGTATATTTTTGCTCACAGGTAAAGAGAATTATTTTTCATGGTAAAGGAGGATTTTTGCATTAATATTCCTTGTCTTGGAAAAATGTCATGCGATAAGCTTTGCTTTTGTGGAGAAATTTTTTAGTTAGTTTAACTATAAAAAAGTTTTCTCTCGGTTTCTTCCTAGAGTAGAGAAACATTAGTTGAGTTGGTTTTCGAAAAACATTGTTTTGTATGAAGTGCATGTTGGGTACTAGAGCCATATAAAGGTATGGCAGCTCCTTTTAAAGATGACTTTTGGGTTGCCTATGCAAACGTTTCAATCATGACAGACTCTTTATTTCAGTTATTATCAGGTTTATAGGATTATAAGACATCACAATAAATTCCTCTCCTCAACTTACCGGTACCAACTTCAGTGGTTTCTTCTGTCTCTTTCCACCGTTTTCTTGTGTCTTCTTCTGTCCCCCATCTATTGTGTTTTCAGCATTCTCATTTCTGCTCTGCTTATTTGCCCTTCGTTTTTTATTTTTCCATGGACGTTGGTGAGTATTCGTTTCCCCTTCCATATTCGTCAACAGTACAACTCTCAAATTCCGGTCCAGTAGAAGGAATGCTTTGAAACAGCAGCCGAATCGAAGGATTCGGCCATATTGCGGTGGCTTTTAGACCGTCAATCACTTTACTGCAGTTTGTAGTTACAATAGAATATCACCGAATTTGTATGCGTATTCCAAGTTTCCAACTGAGTTGATTTCCAACGGTTTTACCTTAGCTCCATTCTGGTTAATACGAAATAATAACGAAAGAGACAAGTGTACACACTTCCAAGAAATCATGAAATTTTTATAGTTTAGTTCATTTTAGATTACAAACAACATGGCGAGTCTTGAGCCCACACACACGTCAAAGCGTATAATAGATACTTCATGTGACAAATTGCAATTACGAACAATTACTCTTTCGTTTTGTGCAAGGGCCAGAGAACTCAATTTCTTTACACAGAGGAAATGGACTAATTGAGTTCACTGACAAGGGCAGACAGAGCAAATAGATCTCGAGGCGCGGGGCCCGCGGGGGTAAAAATTACCCTATCGAACAGCTTCTTCCGTCTGCTTGTGACTTATTTGCGAAGTTTCATTCCTTTTACGTTCATGTGCACCAAGCGAAAATCCTATATAGTCGTTAGGATTTTTATATATCAGTATTACAGTCGCCAATAGAAGCGTTCCGAAAAATGTTGACCAGTTTTTCGGAACGCTTCTATTGGCACGACTGCGGGCCACAATTATTGGGCTACTATTGGTATAGCAGATCAGCCTCGTTATCATTCTTTTATGAAAAACGTGCTCAGCGTTGCCAGATCGTGAACAAAGTTCAGATTTGTGAACTTTTTGCTCTCTTCATGAACTTTTTATGAACTTCGAAGACTTGTGAACTTTTTACGAACTTTTTAAAATTGGTAAAAAGAGTTGTTTCTCATGTTTTTAAAAAGAGTTGTTTCTCATTTTTATTTGGTATTTATCATCTTTGGGGGAATTGCGGTGAATCCGGTCAATCCAATCTCCAACAATTTCCGACGATATCCCGACATATTCTGACGTTTTCCGATCTTAAAATTTAGATATGTGAACTTTTTGTCATTTTTGTGAACTTTTGACGTAAGCGAACACGAATATTTTGAAATTTCGAGGTCGGTAACAAAAGTTGTGTTTCGTATTTCGAGTTAAGCCCCGGGGCTAAACTCGAATAATGAAATTGTGTTTCGTACTTCGAGTCATAGACAATCCAGAAGACATGTCTTCTAGATTGTCTATGTTCGAGTTAAAAGTCCTCTGCAAAAGAGGGTGTGTCTCGGGCGTGGTCGGGGCTTAACTCAAAAAGGGCTTAACTCGGGGGGCTTAACTCGAAGGGCTTAACTCGAACTTTACCGACCTCTGAAATTTCATCTGGCAACACAGAACGTGCTTTCGAAGTTCGCCGGAACTCGTTTTTGCATTGCTCTTTGTTTATCTGATATCCACCTACTGTGAAGAGAAAACGGAAGGCACGTAAGATTTAGCGAAAGATATAATGTTCCAACGTATATCAAGGGGGCGAAAAAGTTAAAGAAACTAGACAAGTTCTTTCTACCTCAGGGGGTCAAAAAAGGTTAGTGTTTTTGACATTTATCTGTATTTTCTTCCTTTCATAACTTCCGACTTCATGGTAAAGTTTGTATTTGGGTTTAGTATGGCAAGATTACATACTGAAAAAAATAATCTAAGAATCTCGAAGACCTCGAAGTAATTTTCAACACTTTTTTCTGCAAATTTTAAATTTTGATATTACGTCCTTATATACCTGTTCGGGGTATTTCAAACTTGCATTTCCTTTTTGCATGGCGTTCACTGAACACTTAGATCTGCTTTTCTTTATTTTTCCACCCGAGTAAGCCTGGTTTTCCTAAAGCTTTCAACATTTTAGTTAGCTCTTTTAGCTTGAATAAAAGTGTTCTTTAATATTCGATCAATGCATGTGATTTTTCTTCGGTTGCTCTAAAAATCTAGTCCTGATGGCCGTTTGGCAAGTGAAATTCTGTCTTAATTCCAAAAAGGCTTAAAAAATTCAACTTGGATAAATATCTATATTATAAGAAATCGCTATTTATATATCATCCCGTTACGTGCATCCAAATATTCCGAGTCCGACGATTTCATTTCTAAATAGAAAGAAAGGCGAGTTGTTTAGTTTTCTAATTAAACAATATATTTTTGCGCCATAACGGCTGGAAATAATCATGTTTCAAAAAAATGCATGACGGTATTGACGGTAGGAACTAGGAAACCGTTTATTTACAGCCTCGTACCCAGGCGCTTTAATGGTTAATATATTTTCAGCTGGGGCCGGTTGTATCAAGCCCGTTTAGCTTAAACGGTGGTTAAGTGAAAATTTAATACCACTCTTACAACTCTCTTGAATGAGTTAACCTGAATATTATGTACTGAATATGTACTTGTAAACAGTATCTTTGTATTAAGGTTAAAAACATTTAGTTTGCTTCGTGAATAAAACAATAGACTTGCTTTCTATTTTGAACTTATCCAGCGTTTAAGCTAAACGGGCTTGATACAACCGACCCATGACCTCTCAGTATACAATAACTGAATGCAATTAACGTTATATATTTTACTATTAGACCCCGTTCACACGATGCCGTTTTCATTTGAATACGGTATTAAATTATGCCGTTTCGGCCTTATCGCGAAGTACGAAAACAGAACATTAACCAGTACTGGACGCCCCTTGTGGAAATGGACGCCCCTTGTGGAAACCAACTTTTGTTGACAAGGCTAGCGTCATTAAATAAGGTTTTACAACATACATACCGTGTAAACGCGTGTGCCATTAATTTTTGCCATTTAAATTTGACGGAGAGAAATGGATTTCATCCAATTTGGATGCTTGTGTGCAGCTCTTTTCATTGAATATAATTTTGATCATTTTAGCAACATAGCTGTGTATACAGCCAAGCGGAAAAACTTTCCTGTCCTGGAAGAATGGTAAGACTAAGACTAAAATTAATGTCGACTTATTAGTAATTAATCCACTTGTTCTTTCTCTCCTAGTTCTTTTCGGTGTCATGTTTTCTGGCAGCGATATTCTTGTTTAAAATCTTATTGGAGAAGAAATACCACATGACAAACCATTATAATGTTGCACCGTCATCGTGTAAACGCGATCACTAAGCGGAACATTTTCGAACCTGCAATTTTGCATGGTTTTCATATTATGCCGGCATCGTGTAAACACAGCCTAGTCCTTAGTCCTCTTTAGCGTGCATTACAGCCAGTGGACTCAAATAAGACTGGAACGCACACTCTGTCGGACGTTTGAAGCTAAGATGGCGGACAATGAAGCCTTTCTTGTAGGTACAGTGAACTCAAATAAGACTGGAACGCTCACTCTGACTTTCCCTCATTAATGAGTGAAGCCAAGATGGCGCATCATGAAGCCTTTCTTGTAGGTGTGATCCAGGCCTCTGGCGCGGAAATTTCAAGGCAAAAATCATAACTGCCGCCATTTTACCAGCGAAACTTCCGCGTGGAGGCCTGGATCATACCTACACAGTGAACTCAAATAAGACTGGAACGCTCACTCTGTCGGAAGTTTGAAGCCAAGATGGCGGACACTGAAGTCGGATAGTCCCGTCTTGATCTTGACAGATAAATCATACACGCATTAAAACACTACAGAGTATATAAAAAAGCAATAATATGTGTACGTTTAAAAACAACGCAATGATAATGGCTTTCTATTTATAGTGATAGTGCAAAGACTCAGGTGTGTCAAATGTATATGTGATGTTGCTACTCTGAGTCACCAACCGGGCAAGCTGAAAAATTAGCTTGACCGCGGTGGGAATCGAGCCTGCGACCTTTGGTTTGCTAGTCCAATGCTCTTCCAACTGAGCTACAAGATCAAGACGGTTCGAGTATAGTTGATATTTCGAAACTTTCTCAATAGACCTTTCCCCTTTTAGAAGCACGCGGCTAAGCATGACGGTAGTTGATTATCGAATTTCATTTTACATGGCGTTAAGCGTAGGAGTGATATTTTTTTCCGAAAGAAATCGTACCGATTTTAGCCCTTTTTCTAAACGAAAGTCGCATCAATTTTTTCTTACGAAAAATATGAGTCGCAGGTATACGCAAATCTAAATTTAGAAGCAATCGGGCTAGTTTAAACGACAAAACGGCCTTTCAAATACCATGGTGTGAACCGCCAATTTAACGAAAATGGCCTTCGAATCAAGCTCGTGGTGAGTTACTCTATCAATACGCGATCAAAACATTATTCTAACATGGAAATATAATTCCCATTAGATTCGAACCTAATCCGTCCGTCATTTCAAATGTCGCATTTCGCATGTGCTGAATTCAAATAGTTGCGGGCTCTATTCCTTATGATCAGCGACAGTCCATAGACGGCGATGTTCGGCGATGCTGACTTGGTAGCAGTCGGCGAGTATCGCAGAAAGGCGGTTTTCATCAACGTAATCTGTCGGTCCTTCGTGTATTTTGGACAAGAAGGCGGGACAAATGAGAACACTGGGTTCGAAATTAGGATGATTAGCATTTTACGATGGTCGGCGAAGTCCGTAAATGCGGGTTTATCAATCGCAGCCGCATTTTATCGTCGGGGACAGTCGCAGATGCATTACGATGAGCGGTTTTCACCAATTACGATGCTCGGCATCTGTCGTAATTTTGATATCAGCGAGCATCGCCGATTATCTGCGAGTGATGAAAACCAGGGGCCGGTTGTTCAAAAGCTGGTTAACTTAACCCAAGGTTAACGCAAATTTTTACATCAATTTTTTTTATCGCTTGTCCATAAAACTTGAATATTTTAACCATGAGTATTTTCTGGTTCAATAGAAATCATATTTTGTAAAGTTTTGAAACAAGCGGGGGTGCAGAAGCACGTAATTAAAAGAGCGGATTAAAATTTAACCCAGGGTTAGCGCTAACCTAGCTTTAAGCAACCGGCGCCAGGCGTAAATAAAAAATGTCATATTTCTAGAAATCCTTTTCTTGCTATTATTTTCCTCATATTCTTGCCTAAATATATTGCACTTTATGCAATATCAAACTGCTTCGCAGCCGCTTGCAGCAAGCCTTGGGATTCTTCGTTTTGTTCGTGTACTGCGCAACGATTACAAACAGACGCGGTAGGCAAATGTATTTTGTCAACTTTCATGCATACGTAATACAATACGATTGTTCTGGTTCATTTCTTTTGTCTACGGCCTCCATATTTCCTTGCGCCTTTCAATATCATAACATGCATGACGTTCTTTGCCTTTTTCTTCAAGCGAATTGAATTCGACACATGCAAAAGTGCGACCTTTGAAGCCAGGTCGCACCGAGCTCGCATAATGCGACCGGACTGGAACAGTCGAATTTAGCATCACGGTCGACCGCAATTAAAGACAGCGAATTCGATTGTTGCATACGTCGCATCTCGCGTACAGATAATTCAAACAATTGTATTCGACACATGCAAAATGCGGCGTTTGAAACAGGCCTTAGTCAGTCTACGACGTTGTATTTTCACTTGTTGGACCAGGAACTGGTCCCTAACCGCTGCTAATCTTGTTGTTGTTGTTGTTGTTGTTGTTAGGGGGCGACGCTCTTTAAAAAAACCCTAAGGCTCTACCATTACTTGTTT